ATTAAAATATACACATACATATGCAAAATATATAGATATATATACATACATGCATTTTTTTTGTAAAAACAAAATTCCAAGAGGAAGAATCCAGGTAGAACTCAATGTCCAGGACAGAGTAATGATATAATAAAAAGGATGAAATACTAATATTCCATGGTCATAATTTATTCCATTGGAATTGTAAATACGATCAATTCATCAGACCTACAAATTTGTAGGTCTGATGAATTGATCGTATTAGTGTTTAAGCCTTTTATTATATATATATATATATATATATATATATATATATATATATATGTGTGTGTGTGTGTGTGTGTATAAAAGTCAAGATAGAAGTCAGCACTTAGAGGCGACAGTCTGTTTCATATTAGATGCAATCGTCAGGCCACGAGTGCTGTTATTTTTCTCAGCTATTTATATAATATACGGGTCAGCGGTTAATTATGGGTAGTCTGTTTTGGCGGTTATTTTACCTGAAGTCGTTTATTTGTTTATTTATTTATTTGGGTTAAATTATTTTGCTTGTTTTTATTTATTTTTTATCTTATCTCATCTTATTTATTTGTTTTTTATTTTAATCGGTGTTTTTATTAACGCAGTAAAAATTTGTTTATATAGCTTATTTAATAGATTTGTTTTGGTTTGGGAAGATAAAGCTATTTATTCAATCTAGGGGTTGATTGTTGTAGTTTATTCTAACTATTATTTTGGCTGGAACAGTTTTTCATTTGTTTATTACTTCATGTATTTATTTGGATCGATTATTTTTATTTGTTTTTTTTTCTAACGATTAGTTTATCGGGATCATTTTGTTAGTTTATTTATTTATTTGGATGAATTTAGGTCAATTTATGCTACTTATTATTTATTTGTTATACTGTATATTTTTTCTTTTCGATTTTAATAACTACGTCATTTAACACACACACACATATATATATATATATATATATATATATATATATATATATATATATATATATATATATATATATATACATATAAATTATGATTAAAAAACAGACAGCTTTAAGGTTTTCTGATGATTATAATTTATTTCCTTGGGATCGAAATTCAATTCTAATTCCTCAGATCGACTTTTTTTCATAGGGTGACAATATTTGCTCTGTTTTTATTTGAGCTCTCTGGATTATATCCTCCTTGGAATTATCGAAACACATCATTAACTATATATATATATATATATATATATATATATATATATATATATATATATAATTTTAAGAAACGTTCATAAATGTTTATAACGTAAATGAAAAGTCAGTAAATTATGGAAGATGCTAAGTGACATAATTTAATGTCGAATAAACGAAATGGAGTAAATGATGTTGAATTTTTATTTTTTATAATGTAATTAATATTTATATGATTTTAGATTGGGAATTAGATTCATGTATTGTATATTTTAAATGAAAAGAGATTATGAAGTAAACGTTTTCTTTTAATATTCTCATCTTTTTTCCTCGTATATTCTGAAAAAGGTAATTCCGTCAGGAACAGAGACATTTGAAAAAAAAAAAAAAAAATCCCGGGCGCAGATTTTTTTATATTTTGGTAAGATTCGATAGCGCCATTATCGAGTTGCTTTCATTTTGAAAAAGTTAGACATTCTTTAAAAAGAAATTAAAAAATAAACAGCATTATTACATTTTTTTTTATAAATACTCCTTGCAAAATAAAATGCTTACATTCCTCTTGATAAAGTTTCATCAAAGGATGAAACACTTTGTCAATGATATGTTTTTCCCATTGTCTTCATTCATATATATAAGCTTTTTATGTAATTTTTCTTGTGTTCGGACAAGAGCTTTCTTTTCTGGTGTCTGTAAAGAGTGTGTAAAAACTGTCCAAATGTTTTATAGTTCCGAGCGATTTCGGCTATACCTTTAGCCGTTATCTATGATAAGATAAGTGTACCCTATCTGATCATAGCTCAATTAGAACCCATTTAAACACACTCACAACCTTACCAGACTCCATTAGAAACATACTTGTAGAAAACACAAATATAATAACTTCATCCACTTGGAAAAAAAACAAAAAAAACTTCAAAATAATGGAAGCTTTAATAATAAAAAAGAAAAAGCCAACTCTTAACAATATTAACTATGAACCGTATTCGGAAATTAAAAACAGCTCTACAACACACTAAAGCATACAGATAATGTACACACTCAATTAAGCTGAAAAATTGAATCATGCTTGAAAATGGCTAAAGGTATAGCTGAAAGCGCTCGGAACTATAAAATATTTGGACAGTTTTTACATACTATTTGTCCAGAAATAAAAGCTATTGTTCGAACACAAGAAAATATTCTATATAAAGCTTAACCGTAGTACTGTCGTTTTTAATGAAACATGCATATATATATATATTTATTCATTCGAAATAATTTTTATCAGTTTGAACGTTACAGTTTGTGGATACTCATTTGAGTAGAAGCTATACGTATTTATTTTCGTCTACCGACATAAATATTCTAGAAGAGATGTTAAAGAAAAAATTAAATAATAAATTTAAAAATTTCCTGCCAGAGAGCGTAATTTTATATATCTTTTCTTGAAAATTAAGACAGTTATAAGCAAATATACTTTTATATAAATAAATGAAGCGTCAGCTCAAATACCCATATCCTTTGAAAATAAACTTTAAAGTGATTATATTTATATATAGAGAGAAATCCAAAATGACCTCATGAGTATAGACTATTTCAACTAGTGTCTATACGCTATCATTTTTCGTCTTAACCTTAAAATGCTAACCCATAGACACTGGTTAAATAGTCTATTCTCATGAGGTAATTTGGGAATTCTCTCTATATATAAAATTTATATGCTCTGTTATAATAAATACATTGAGCTCTTTTTGTGCATCAGTTTTAATATTTTATGTTACTAGGATCCACTTGGATTATATACCAACGGATTTACTACTTATGTGCGTATATATATATATATATCTATTATTTTTTACCCCGCCCCCCACTTAGGTTTGTGTTTGTGTGGTTTTTTGGTCACGTGGTATGATTTTGGCTATCGTCTATAAATTTGTGTTTCTCTTTGCCTCGTTAGCTTGACTTTCCCTGACGATCAGTTTAGGTGAAACCTAGGTAGGTTTGTCTGGCTCACTAGGTCTATCTATCTATCTATCTATCTATCTATCTATCTATCTATCTATCTATCTATGTGTGTGTATTTAGGCAGCAATTTTTCATTAATACATGTTTCATTAAATAATATAGACACGCTTTGTATATTTATTTTAAGTAAGTTCCTTTCATATTGTCTGATAAGCTTAATCACATTATCGTTGAAATGTAATGTTTGTGTGTGTGTGTGGATATAAGAATGATGACTGGTAATTTCACGCTTCAATGTGATCCTGACCTGCAGATCCCTCTGAATCGTGAAACTGCCAATTAACATGCAGTGTTGATTCCTATGTCCAGTCTATATCTATAAATGCCCTATAGCAAATTATATATATATATATATATATATATATATATATATATATATTTGTATAATAGAGAAATCCCAAATATTACCTCATGAGAATAGGCTATTTCAACTAATGACAATGCACTAGCATTTTTTCGACTCAATATGGTGGATTAATACAGAGTTAGAAATTTAAAATTAAATATTTAAAAATAATAAGAGACAGCCGTTGAAAATATGAATTTTAGCTAACCAAACAAAAACGCCAAAGTGGTGATAAGGGGAAGCATATATTGTCTTGCTTAAATGATTGACGCAAGTTGAAATATTCTATTCTCATAAGGTAATTTTGGATTCCTCTTTTATGCAATTTATATGCTCTGTTATAATAAATACATTGAGCGCTTTTGTGGATCAATATTTTATATTATTAGGATCCACTTGGATTATATACCAACGGATTTATTACCCGAACTCTCTCTCTCTCTCTTTCTTTCTCTCTCTCTATATATATATATATATATATATATATATATATATATATATATATATATATATATATATATATATATATATATATATATATATAAGAAAGAATAGTAACATTTACAATCCGAGTTCTTAGTAAATATTTTTATTAAAAAAAAGTGTTCGATACATAAACCGCAGAGTATTATATTATAATTATTTAATATTTTAAAAATATGCTTCGATCGCTACACAGGAATTACCATGTTTCAAAAGAGAAACTAAAATTTTAAATTTAATTATAAAATTAAATTTAAAATCCATAGTTCCATTCCATTATCAAGCGATTTTTGGAATATGAAATTTTCCGTAACTTTACCGTTTTAAATTATTCAGATTGCCTGTGTTTATAAGTGAGATAATTGCAAAAATCCCTTGATTATGGAATGTGTGTGTGTGTGTGTGTGTGTGTGTGTGTGTCCTGGTTATGACGGTAAACTATATCCGGCAGCAAGTCTTCTCATCGGGAGATTGGAGGATTTGAGGAGCGCGGAACCACCTTTTAATTGCTGTTGTTCCCAGGTCCGCCCTGACCCTGGGTGGTAGCACCTGTTAGGGTCCCAACTATGGGCAAATAGTGCCTAACAGGGCTGACCAAGTTCTTTAGTGTTATTGAACACGATTGGTCTAGGAGATGGAAAAGTCTTCCACGAAAAGCCTGAGGTCTATTGTCTGCTTCGTCTGTGGCATTTATTTGCACCGACTAAGTGTATCAATAGTTCCAAAAAGTGTGGATGGTTCTGCACAAGCCTTCACCACTTTAATCAAATCACTTGTGTGGGTTTTCTAGCGGTTTACCTTGATTCGTCCTTATCCAACACTTGCTCCATATGTGGCCACCTTTGTAAATCACTAGCGGGTCTTAAATGCCACTTAAGATTATCGCACAAAATTTCATAAATGAATCAATAAGCTGTCTGATCCTCATACGTCGAAACCGACGGGTGAGTACATTATATATATATATATATATATATATATATATATATATATATATATATATACTAGAAGAATATGGAATTCAAAGAAAAGTGAGGAATATGACAATATGGAAAAGCTGTCGACGCCTTTTTGCTTTCGTCAGAAAAC